TGATTTTTAACTAGCAATTTGAATAACTTAAAAATTAATCTTACTAAAAAGCTTTTTTTAGTCTTGATTCTTACTTGAGAAAATGACGAAACACTCGCATTTATTGTTAATTGATCAGAAGTTAGTTTGTTCCCGTTGAAAAGTAAACTAATATCCGGTCAATAGCGAAAATTACTTAGTTTGTTGGTTGCTTTTTAGCTTTAATTTTTTTTTAGTAATTCCATATTAATTATGCTAATGAGTAAATTCATTTCAATAGCATTCTAACTCCTTTTCCAAAGAGATAATATATAAGATAATGTACCAGAAAATAAATTGCTATTTTATTACTCTGCAGCTTTAGCGCAAGTATTAGGCAAATTATTACAAATAATTATCTTATTTAGTGAATTTATAAATTGTCATTCAACTGGATAACAAACATGTAAATTTAACGCACTGCCTGCGTCTGACGATCAAAGAAAACAGTTTATATATATATATATATATATATATATATATATATAAAACTTTCATCTGTATTTACAGAGTTACCTGCAATACTTGAAATATTAAATATATAGGGCAAACTAAGAACAATCTAAACATTCGACTGAATACCCATAAAACTCATATTAAAAATTGCAAAGCGATGCAGCTTAATAACACTCAAATTAATTCATCTTACCAACTTAGCTCTGCGGAATTAGAACATTTTAAACACCATGAATTCATCATTATTACAGATTTTGGACATTATACCTAATCACAAAGAACGAATTTTTCAAGAATCACTTTATATTCTCAAACATCGTCCTTACAAACTCAATATTTATTTTTGTAGAGACATTAGGTTAATTGGAAGCAGACAAGATGAAAAATGAGCAACCGCCTTCGCCAAGAATGGAACCACGGACCTCTGGAATATGAGCCCAGCGTGCAGACCACCACACCACGAAGGCATGCGAAGAAGGCGGGAGATATATCTTATATACTCTCCCTTTTAAAGGGCGACGAGGGTATATTAGGGGACCTAATCGCCAAAATCCTGTGTGTGGAGAATCCCTCATCTCACACCCTTTTAGTTCGGGCGCCACTGTAGGCACACGTGGTTAATTGGAAGCAGGCAGGATGAAAAATGAGCAACCGCCTTCACCGGGAATCGAACCACGAACCTCTGGAATACGCGCCCAGCGTGCAGACCACCACACCATGAAGGCATGCAAAGAAGGTCGGAGAAATACTTTATACCTAAAAATATTTCCAATAACTCCATATTCAGCCAATTTAAACTTTGCAGCACCAAAACAAAAAGAGGAAGTAGAATTAATAATGAAAGATATTTACCAACTTTAGATGCAACTGAATTACTGACGCATTTTAAAAATTTATTTAACTCTGCATATTTCTCGAAGAAACTTCTTATCTGGTTACACACTTGTACTAATAAATTTCTTTGATTGCTTGAAAATACTTTCTTTAGCAATACAACGATACACAAATTATTAAATACCAAGCTCTTAGTTACTGTAAATACAAACTCTAGCAATAACACAACGCAGAATTTACATTAAAATCAATTTTCTCCATCCAAATTTTGACAAAGTCGAACACTTCTCTCTTTAAATAGCAAAAACGTTAAACAACTTGCTCACTAATTACCATGAAACAGATTAGTCAGCAAAATGACATTGCAAATTGCCACAATCCAGTCCATAAGTAGATAGTCAATATCAACATATAATTACTGGAAACTTGGATATCATTCAAAACGCGCAACTTAAAAAATTCATGAGTTATGGTGTAAAATGTACACCAGCCAGATACGTTAACAAAAATTACTGTTACAAAATTTAGAAAATAGCATCAACGAATTTATTGTTAAAGCTAGCAATCAGCTTAATTTGCCTAATAATGCCTTTTCAAAATGGAAAGATGAAATCCTTCAGCAAATTAAAACTAAAACTAGCAAAGTTTAAAAGTCGTTTAAATTGGTCTTAGCATTTTTCAAATATTAAAAATTTAAAAGACCAATTCACAGCCACCAAAATTGATAAAGCAAATAATAATTTTAGCATTATATGAAAAATTATCTACAGAACAATTATTAGTAAATATCTGTGGTAATCCAAGGTACAACAGATTTAATAACCTTTATGCTCTTTCCAAATTCCATAAAACACCACTTAACTTCAAATTCATTTCAAATAGCACCAATAATTACAAGAAAAATCTAGACTATTGCTATATTTATTTGTAAATTGAACATCAATACTTGTAACACAGAACATAATTATTGTTGGATCATAAATAATAACATTCCTGCAATTAATATCATTCAGTTTATTGACATACAAAATATCAACTGCTATGAATTTGAAAACTTATACACTTCGCTCCCATTAGAAGGAATCTATACTACCATGTATTTCATTTCACTTAGATATAAAATTCATAAATGAAAACTGCTTACTTGGAAATCATCTCCTATAAGGTCATAGAGATATTCTGTGATTGTCATGTTTGGTTTCCTTTTTTTATTTAAATATCGACTTCCTCCGTGAGGTAGGACTTCGTGCAGCCTTCGTATGAGCGATTCTTTGGGACCTTCTGAGACGAAAGCAGGCGTTTGAGTTGATGCGCGATTGGACAGCAAATCCTCTTCCGTATACTGACAAAACAAAACTTCAAAGCAGGTTAACCAAAATAGAAACAAGTGAAACGATCTTTGCATTGCCATGTTGTCTGAAAAAGAAAAAACAAATAACACAAAATACGCTGTTAACAAAAGTCAAAATGATTAATTTGTATAGAAATATGTGCAGGGGTGGATACGGTGGTGTAATCGGTACGACCTACTTGCATACAGGTGCTGGTACTTTTATGTAAGTTGACCATTGTTCTCCAAGTTATAGGGGTATCGCGTCGTTAAGATAGAAAAGTGGAGACTCCTTTACTAAGAAACATGCTACTTGAAGAATACAACCTTCACTAAGATTGCGAAACACTCATGTGAAGATTTGGGTGAATTGTAGACGGCTTCAATGAAGTGCTGGCACCATTATTAATTTCAGTTTATACTATGAAGAATGTAGTCTTTGTGAAGATTTCGGGACATTCCTCTGCGTATCTAAGCGAATAGTCGACGGCTTGAATAAAGCTGCTGGTACCTTTTGCAAGTTAGCCATTGTTCATCAAGACATAAGGGGTACCGAGCACGTTTTACATCCTAAAGAATGCAGCCTTCATCATGATGCCGGGACGCTCGTGTAAAAATTTTTATTTCAGTAAATAATCCCCGATCTATATAAAGATGCCGGCACTTATTATAACTTGGAGAAAACTATTCCCATCAAGGTGCCATACCTTTATGATAGTTTCTCCATCATATAGGTGCCAGCACTTTTATGCAAAGGGAACATTGTTTCATATGGATTCCCATGCATAAAGGTGTAAGTGGTTCTATAAAGCCCACAACAATATCGAATTCTGTTTATAACATGAAGAAAGCAACTTTATTACAGGTGCTGGTATCTTTTTATCAAAACATCTTCATTAGCCTTGGCAAAATCTCCTCTTAAAAATAAAGGCATTATGAATAGGTTCAATTTATAACTTGGACAAAACGTCCGTCGAGGTGCCATATGTTTGTTATAGAACATTTAGTGGTTGATATGGCTTCTGGCTTGGCAAGTTATCATTAACGTTTCATCCGTTTTTAAACCATTGATATGAATTATCAAGGCTAACTTAAGAGCCTCCAGCATTAGCTCATCAGGGAATTTCCTGAACTCCTGAAAACACCATCCGCTGAGTGTTTATTTTGTGCTAGTAGATGAGAGCAGTTTTTATTCATTACAATAATAGTGCAAATATTTGAAAAAGGCCGATTTATTTCTCTTTATCTAGTAAATTTAGCAAATACTTTCTTCGACTAATAGGATTTTAGTTAAGGCTTTCTAAAATTACCGAATTTTTTTTTTGGGGGGGGGGTCAAACATGACGTATAATTTAGATTTACTGAACTCATATACAGAGAGATATTTCTGCAAACTTTTATAGCTTCTTTTCTTCATAAAGGATTATTTAGGTTAAAAGCGGTATTTATTCTGAGAACCATAGCAATCTGGACTCAAGAGATAGGTTAAGACTATTTTTGATGCCAAATTTAAGCGTGTTCCTGCTTTGCATTCACGTCATAGCCATCAGTTGAATTCTAAAAAATGTTCCCAAAAAATGAACTACACTTTAGTAATATGCCTAAGGAATAAAAGTGTCTCATCTTAATGCTTAATTTACAATGAATTTTAAATTCGAATAGGAAGGGTGTTATCAGTTAGCTATTATTACATTATTAAAAATAAAATAAATGCACTTTTTTTTTTTTTTTTTTTGTTCCAATTTCTGGGTACTTCCATGCTAAGCTTTTTGAAACACATTTCTTTCAGATATATCTAGGTGATCTCGTGAAATATGAGCTACAGCATGATGAAACGATGCGACACGAAGCTCCCATAGATGAAAACAAAACGCATTCAAGCTGTAACTAAATAGAAGCAAAACAAATTTCATGTGGTCAGCAGGATGATCTCCCGCCAATCCCATGTTCTTAACAGAAACGAGCTTCACTTAAAGCTCGTTGCATCACTTCTAGTTGATTGTGTGTAAATCTAATTTATTGTTCCAATAAATGGAAAGGTCTGTAATACGAAATTTTGGATCATATTTTTTAAATATATTTGACCATATTTAAAAACTTGTTTTTTAATTTGTACCTACATAAACAAATGTTTGACACATTATTTTCTTTTAGTTCAGTTGAATAACATGTAATTGCTTTTTGATTAAAGAAAAATAAATAGCTATAAGTTTTCTTCTATGTTATAATTTCTATAGTATCAACAAATCTAAATTAATTTTGATCTGTACCTTATATCCCCGCAATATTTAGGTATCAGTAAAGAATGCTTTTTTTTTTTTTTTTTTTTTTTTTTTTTTTTTTTTTTTTTTTTTGGAGTTACAGCTCAGTGGGTTGCGGGAGCAAAGCATTAGATGCATTCGAACTTGTTATTTTCTCTTGTGCCTCGACATTATCAACAGGACAAGGACATTTTTTAATAACATATCTGCATTACAAAATTTTGAAATTGTGCAGTGGTATTATAAAAAAAAAATCTCTTATGCTGCTTGATATACATAAATACCATGTCTAGATATAACAGAAATAGCTTTAATCCGTACAGCATTATTTTAGATTAAGCTCCTACTACAGTAATTCTATATATTTCCACGAAAATCTGTTAAGTGTTCCAAGTAGAGCAACTCTTCCGTTCGTCATATGTAGTCAAAATCTAACGTGTTATTCTCAGTCATCTATTGTACCTGCATCGAATCTCTATATGCGAGTTTTAAATAGCAGATCTGAGATATTTTGGATTATATGATAATATATGTTTTCAGGAAAATCTTTTCAGAGCTTCAAGTAAAATATCACTTCCTGTTTATCAATATTAACCAAAATCTAATATGTTGTTTCCATTGATAAAAAAGTCTCAAATACTAAAATTGAAAAGTTTTAGATTATTTTTTAATATAGTTTTTCGGTGAAAAAGTTTCTGGGATTCAAGTAAAGTACCCCTTAAAATTGTCACACACGCACAAACAGACAGCGTTGAAAAATATTAAAAAGTGTTTTAGAGATCCTAATTGGCCCTTATTCACTGAAAACTCACTATTAAATTCCTCTGTCGAAAGCATTACCTCCCTCACCTATCTATATAGGTGGGAGGGAGGTAAAAATTAGAAACAATTTTAGCGATGTTTTGATGGAAGTGTTGAAACTGCATAAGTGGAGTTGAAGAATTAATTATTAATTCTTTGTTAATCAAACTGTAGAAGTATCTTATCATGATCATAAAAACTGCATGAATTGGAATTTCAGTAGTAACAACATTACTGATTATATGTCATGAAACGGAACTAGTGCTTTTCACTTATATATATATATATCTTATATATATCGACATCTTTCCTATATATCACTTATATATATATCGAAATCTTTCCTACGACTTAATGAATGGAGTCTGTTTTCTAATGCTACATATATGTGCTGTAATTAGAACAGACTATTGCATCAGTTAGCGTCTAAAGTTTAATATTCTCGGAACATTAAAACAGCGAAATTGTTGGAAAAGCAAAAACAGGCAAATAAATAGTTACTCAGAGCCACTTTGGAGCGTAAAAATAGATTTTTCTCTGGTGGTATGAAGCTGAATGATACAGGAGCCAGTCAGATCTGAAACGAGACGAATTTGAAGCGCCAATCGAATAAATAGCTAAATCCAAAGTTACGCATAAAACCAACAGAATAAATGATTAGCCTTTTCAGCACCAGAATTTTTCTAAAATGCGCGGGGAAAAAAAAAGTAAAAAAAGCAGAAAGAGGGGGGAAAGAAAAGAAAAACTGAAAGGATTCATATTTTAACTGCACACTAGAATATTTCGTTAATGTTTTCTGTGCTCTCGCTGAGATCGGCATGTTGCCAATCTTCTCCTGGACCCATTCCTGCTCACATAACTTTTTTTTCTTTTTTAACTCCGTTAATAAATATCGCTTACTTGGCACTTTTACATTTGAAAAAAAAAAAAAAAAAAAAACTGAACAGTAAAATCACAAAATTTTTAAAAGGAACATATTTATAGGAAACCCGATACAATGACTGCTGTTAAGTGTTGCCAAACATTATTTCTAAAACTTTTCTCAGTTTCTCATTGAAATGTTCAGTTTTCTTAGAAAAATGACTTTCTCTCTCTTCTTCACACTTACGCCACATAAAAGTCAACAGCAAAATCATAAAATTTTTAAAAGCAGTATAGCATTAGAATTCCCGACAGAATATCAAGCGTTGCATAAACGCAAAAGTAGTACGACCAAAAAACTGAGCATCAAGGTTAACAGCACTACTGGTACTAAAAAGACATCTACAAAATATTGTTTATATAGCTATAAGAAGAACTCTCTTGCAATATATTAAAAGTTCAAACCAAATCTACTATCAAATTAATCCACAAAAAATGTTAAAAATGTTTAAAAGCAAATATCCGAGGACAAACGCCAACAACAGAACCGAAAGGGCTAAAACTATGTAAATTTAATAATATAAAAAAAGTATTACTTAGAAAGACGTAGCTCTTACATACAGTATATATTGTACCTATTATAAATATATTATATTATTATAAATATTTATTTTCAGAAATTCAGTTAATAAAACTCTTTTCAATATAAGGGCTGTAGTTTTGAAGTTGCTGTTTTTTAGCACTTTTACCCTCAATACCTAAATAAAATTGCAACCGCAAGAAACTTAAAAGTAGTCTTGGAAATTCTCTCTCTCTATTTTTTTTTTTTTTTTTTTTTTTTACTCACTTTCCAGATTGTTTCTACCAAGTATTATAGCCCTGTATTGTGGTTAAAGAAACTAAATAATGGAGAATTTACATGAATGTATTTATGTTTCT